TTAAGTGCTCGAAATTCCTAGGAGACCTGAAAAATAAAAAGCATTTAAATTAGAATAAAACAATAGGAACATAATTAAAGTAGTTACTGTTACTTACAAATGGAAAGATTTAACATAAAATCATCAAGTAAAGCAGGTTTTCAAGATATTCATTATTTGTTAATGGTTTTGTAAAGTGTAGTTTCGTAAATAATATCTTTGGGGACTGACTTTGGGTAAATATTGAATTATAACTATGATGACTAGAGATAAGGAGGCGAATCGGCATACTCAAAATACGGTCCCAAAAAACGCACGCTAATTGAGCTTCTATAATTAACCGCATGGGCGCTGGTACTGCATACGGTGTTCAAAATACATGGCTTCTTATGGGAATTATACATAATTTTGTCAAAATAATAGAAATAAACTTGTTTATAGCTAAATAGAGCACAGCATATACTTTTAAGAGCAAAATATACAGTTAACAGATTTTTATTGTTGTAATACAAGTATAAAGGAGATTTGGGAATGTACATGGTATTACCTCATCCTTAAATTTCAGCTTTCCCCTTTTTATTTTGCTAAAAGTACCATCAGTAAAAATAGTCTCATAATATTGGATAATATCTTCTAAAAAGTATAGAACAGCATCATCTCTAGAAAGTGCTTTATCGGCACTAGGAACGATATATATGCTGCCACTGTTATGACACAATTGGGGTTCAACAAAAAAATAACAGTAGCAACTCTTTATCTAACATTAAAAACTCTATAAAAAATAAATTTTATTTTCTAGTAAGTTAAATTTAATGTATAATTGTTGTTGTTTGTAAGCCAGGATCTCTATGACTGTAAAATTTTATATTACAGAAATTTGTAATAAAATAAACTACACTCCGTAAGATACATATTGTGACTAGTTTACAATAAATATTATATTTAGACATAAATACATTATTTTACTTACATTAGAAGCTTTAAACAGACATTGAATTGATTTCTCCTTGTATTTTCTTTAGTTTTACATTTGAACGACTTAAATCTTGCTTTGATGTTTTTTGTCACTCATGTTACTTGTACTCGGGTACTTTTTTTCACATTATTTTGATTCTTTTCACCAATTTTTTTAAAAAATCACTTACATAGAAAATTGACACCGCTGTAATTTGAAATTTGACCATTGCCGATTCGTCTCCTTTTCTCTAGTCTTCATGATTATAACCTTGACTAAGATTATAACATAACCGTGAACATAGCCACTAAAACTATGCGCTAGTTCGGTGTGATGTCATTTTGGTTCCACTGACATTTAATTCTAACCAAACTTTTAACAAAAACGTCAATAAATTTGACGTATACGTTTTTACTGTTTTTGGTTTATTTCTAAATATTTTTTATAGGTCATAAAAAATAGTTTAAAGCTATGTAATTGGTAACTAAACGATTGTATATTCGATGCATGTTATTTACTTACTTTAGGAATATATTTATAAAATTGAAGAAACGATATAATTTAGGTAAACAAAACGAACAAAACGCACTCAAAAAATCTACTGTCAGTTTAATTGTCAGTGGAACCATAATTACATCATCACTGAACTAGCGCCACCACATTTGACAAAGTATGTGGATGTAAGCAACACGTAATAAGTGTTCAAAATGGCGGAGTTTTCTATCTCCTTTTAAAAGGCACTCAGAAAGCTGCGCAGTGCGACCTCGAAGTATGTGCTTTCAGCAGAAAATAAGTAAACTGTTGCGTCTGCTGAACGCAGCCAATTACTAGTGACAGCGACTTTTTTATCACAAAAATACGGCTCTGAACGATAATATTTTCAAAAATTGTTTTTAAAAATGGGTTTAGAGTACGATAAAGAATGGTGGAAAGTATATAGTTTGTATTAATTTAAATGCATAATATTTTAATAAGTGATATTTGACAAATATTTTAAAGTTATGGACTTTCCACCATTTTTTATAGTATTTAAAAGCTAAAACGCAAAATACATTCTTTTATTTTTGCCTAATTATTACAGGAAATTTGTGTTAAGATTTAAAAATGTTCTGTCTATAAGATGCTGCCATCTGAACAGACGGAATAGACACTAATGTGAAAAATTGCAACATCGCTCCCTATGCAGACGAATGTAAAACCAGCTTAGCCCAATTTGACCATGTTCCTGGGCGAGGTGTTGTGAGGGGAAAGGTTTCAAGTAAATAAATTGTGGTATAAATGGTATTTTCTGTTTGGAACACAACAGAAATATGTTTGTTCTGTAAGTTTGACGTTTGTGGTTTGACTTGTCAATTTAATTTTATAGACTTTTAATTTAAAAGATAAAATGTACTTATTAAGCTATTGCATAGCTTTTATCGCGGGCTTTGAGCGCGGAGACCGAATCAAGAAAAAAACGAAACCGTAACGAAAAAAAACCCCCCACTCCGACCGACACATCGGTGCGGCGTTAAACAATATTAACTTCTCATTTATTCAATAAAAGAAAATCGAAAAAATCGAAAAACCGAAAAATTGAAAAATCCGAAAAATCGAAAAATCCAAAAAATCGAAAAATCCGAAAAATCGAAAAACTGAATAATCGAAAAAGAAATTTCGTAACGAAAATAAACCTAACACCCCCAACTCCGACCGGCACAGCGGTACGGCGTTGAAAGCCGTGCATCGTCTAACGTCGTTTCAGTTCGGCAGACTTCGGCACGGTGTTTGCGTGCGTGCGACTAGACGTATGCGTGTAGACTAGCTGCTAATGTTCATAACTGATTCTATCTCTTTTAGACACAATATCGGAAAAATTGAATTTGAAAATGAATAATGATCCACAAGAATCCACAACAAAATATGGGACCACCATTGACGCGGTATTTTCCAGATATTTAGAGGATATCAAGTCTCAAACTTATGTTTCATATTTCAGTTACCATAAACCTAGTTTTTTTCTTTGATATTTCAAAGAAAAAAAAATACTGCATAAATAAGATAAATAAATAATTATAATTGCATAAGTTGATAAAAAATGCTATGCAATAGCTTTACCGCGGCAGTCTCCGAGTGCCACACGTATTTTTATTTATATATATTTTCCAATTATTGTAGATCCAGAAATGGTATTTTTTTTCGGTTTTTGTTTTATTTTCATTTTCTTTATTTGGCTAGTTTCCTAATATCACAATATTCAAATTTAGTAAAAAATAATGTAATAATATAATAATTATTATAATGAAATTCTTTTTATTTTTTTATCGAATGGTTTTGTATAACAGAATCCAATGCATTTTAAAGAAATACAATTAATTTTTAATTGTACATATGGCGGGTTGTACAATAGGCAGTTAAAATGTAGACTTATTTTAAACTGTAAATATCTTTAACAGGTTAGTTAATATTGGTGAACTTACAAGGGCGATCAGAGCACTGAACGCCAAACTCAAAAATTGCAACTCGGGTCAACAAATCATTGAAACATATAACGCGTTCATGAGTAACGTAGACAACACATTCAATATTAGGAACTGAATTCAATTCAAGGGACAAACAAAAACTTAAAATTTGTTTCTATAATGCAAATGGGATGCGAACAAGAACATCACTTGTTCGTAACTTCATTCATAAACATAATTTCGACATCGTACTTATTACCGAAACACATTACAAACAATCAGACAGAATTAAAATACACGGGTACGACATCATCAGACATGACAGACCGGATCAGTCATGGGGTGGTGTGGCTTTTTGTATTAAATCTGAAATTACCTATGAACATCTAGCAAGTCTAAATATCCCGCAGGAGCACTTAATAATAAAAATTGCCAATATCAACTTTGTCGGGCTATATAACCCACCAGATAGTGCTTTCACAAAAAATGCAATAAATACAATCATGTCATCGGGAAATAGAGTCCTTCTACTGGGTGACCTTAATTGTAAACATCCCCACTGGGATTCGAACTGCCAGCGCCCAAATAAAAACGGGAAAAATTTGGATGAATTCGCCGAGACCAACGACATTATTATACATTATCCCGAAGACCCCACCCACTTCCCTTCCACCCCAAGATACACCCCCTCCACAATTGACATTGCGGCTGCCAAAAATGTACCGAACGTGGAGAATACAAGGACAATCAAAACACTTACCTCGGATCACGATCCTGTATACTTGGAGATAAGGACTACACGCCTGATACCAAGGATACAGGGTCGTTATTACGACTTCAAAACAACAGACTGGACGAAATACAGAAAAACACTGGACGAAAACATTGACATTAACAATAACATTACAGATAGGCAATCTCTTGAGGAAGAAATTAAGCATCTAACAGAAGTAATAATAAATGCCAGAAATAGCTCTACAAAATTAATTACATTGAAGCCATTAAAGGATGATCTCCCTCAAGAGATTCTCGACCTCATTACAAACAAGAACCATATACGTAGACGTTGGCAGACGCACCGACAAGCCGCCGACAGGGTCATGTTCCAGGAGTTAGGCAAAGCAATAAATAAAGAAATCAATAATTTTAGGAACCTAAAATGGCGCAAGACCCTGGAGGCGATTAACATAAAAGACAACTCAGTGTGGAAAATTGTGAGGCGGTACAGAAAACCGTTCTCGCAGCTTCCCACACTGAAACAAAATAACAACGTATACACAACAGACGAACAAAAATGCACGGCATTCGGCGAATTTTTCCAGAATAATTTTATAAATTCACAGGCCAATAACCAAGAGCAAAATGATATCACAGACATCGTAAACGATATTAAACAAATCCCCAAGCTAAAAGTTCCCTCGGAACAATTAACAACCCCCAAAGAGATTATCGAAATAATCAAAAAATCACCCAGTAAAAGAGCCCCAGGGCCAGACGAAATCCACAATAAGTTGCTTAAAAATTTATCTATGAAAACCATAGTACAAATTCATTATATAATAAATTCCATTATGAAACTCCAGTGGTGTCCGGACGCATTAAAAGTTGCTAATGTGGTCCCGATACACAAACACGGTAAGAATAGATTCGATATAGGCAGTTACCGCCCCATATCTCTTCTAAATGGCTTAGCCAAAATTACTGATCGTGTGCTGCTCACGAGGCTACACACTTACGAACAAAACACACCGATTATACCATCAGAACAGTACGGTTTCAAAGCCGGCCATAGTACTGTTGCTCAAGTAATTCGAATAGCTCAACATGCGAAAAATGCATTTAATCAAAACAAACACACTGTACTAGTAGCACTCGACGCTGCTAAGGCCTTTGATACCGTCTGGACTGACGGATTAATCCACAAAATGTTTATGAATGACTACCCTGTTTTCATTGTCAAAACAATTCAAACATACCTACAAGACCGTAAATTCTACATTAAAATCCATAATACGCGTAAAGGACCATACAATGCGGAAGCGGGAGTACCTCAGGGTTCGGTACTTGCGCCGCATCTGTACACTATCATGACCCATGATTTCCCCATGGGACATAATGGTGTCCAGACGGCCCTGTACGCCGATGACACTTGTGTCTACAAATCATCGGACACAGCAGAGATTGCGACCAGGAGACTGGACATCCATGTTAACAGAACCATAATACCCTATTTCAAGGCCAATAAAATTAACATAAACGCTGCCAAAACAGAAAGTCTGATTCTTGCTAAAAAAAGGGTAGACAGCAAAATAATAAACAAACTCAAGGTACAAAATCAAATAATTGAAACAAAAACCACCATGAAATATCTTGGCTTTACCCTCGATAAAGGACTAACATTTAAGGCACATATACATGATAGAGTCGCCAAGGCCACAGGTGCATTTAAGTCGTTGTATCCGATGTTACATCGCAGAAGCGGCGTAACATCGGACAACAAACTTCTATTATATAGGCAGGTGCTTCGGCCTATTTTAACTTACGGATGTCCAGTCTACTGTTCGATGTCTAACATTCACTTTAAAAAACTTCAAATCTTTCAAAACAAGTGTCTTCGGCTAGCGCTGGGGTGCGATCGTTACGTAAGAACAACAGACATCCATGTGCAAGCATCCATAGAAACCATCAAAGAGCATATTATTAAACTTTCAGAGAATTTTTACGACAAATGCCTCCCCCCTGAGGTAAAAAATAACATCCTAGCAATACACCAACATGATGGTATACACAGACCCCATGGATGCCTGCACAAGGCACTTTCAATCTACAGACAGGATCAAAATTAAATTCAACAATTGACATACATCCTCCTTAGCAGCGTAAACCCCACTGAATACTCAAATCACAACGCCGACTAGTTAGCAACTTTAGTCGGACGGAGGACTGCACGGTGACGTCACTGAAAAATGCGAAAATTCGTGGCTTGTCGCGATTTTAGTATTGGACTCACCAAGGCTGCTGTTACCCGAACCCACGTTAGTCTCGTTACGAAGTAACATAACCCCACTTTTCGCTCTCACAAGTATAGTTTCTCTTATTTTTGTCCGAACAAAATCGCATCGCCAGGTAAAGTTAAAACAGTGTACGGAGTGTAACCCCGTGCATGGGGGAGCCCTCGGGGGCATCCAAAAAGTCGGGAAAACCGACATATATCGCGACGGAAGCCGCGAAAACAGAATGTGATCATTCTAAACATTTATCTAATCGAGTGAAAGCATATAATAAACTTATTCAAGAAAGCCGGGAAAATTATATCCGAAACCCCAATATCACGAAACCTCGAAGAAGGATCATACTATCAGGAGCAATAAAATCTGTGAGTACTGAGAGCCTATCTAGTAACCTGGGAGAAAATACCAAAACTCCAGGTGAATCCACGCCAAAATTTTCAAGCTTGAAAAGTATGGAGAAAACTAATAGACGGCTAAGCTCCAGCCAAACAGTACACCCCAACACAGACAAACAAACACAAATAAATCAAGCACAACACAGTGCCGCTCGTGAAGAATGTAGCTCAAAATCTGATACCCAGGAAAGTATGCAGAAAGCGCCAAGCGCCGAGCAAACACAAGAAAGTAAGGAGAATGCTTTCTACTTACTTTCCCAAGCCGATGAAATGGACAAAACAAAAGTCAACGAAGACGTTGAAATGACCGATAATATGTCAGACCACAGTCAAAACGGCCGAAATAGTGCCCACACTGACGAAAATGCTGATCTAAGCGACCCAAAAGGCCCAAAAACCGACTCCGAGGAAAGTTCGGAGAATAGCTATGCCGACCGATACAGCAGTAGCGACCACGATACAAAACGGTCCCGTAGATATCTGCAAAGTACGGAGAAAGAAGACAGCCAAACGTCGGACAACAGACTCTCAGAAAGTATGGAGAACAGAGTATGGGAAAGTATGGAGAACAGCAAACACTGGGAAAGTATGGAGAAAAGTAATTTGGAAAGTATGGAGAATACTAACAGGCTACAAAGTATGGAGAAAGACAAAAATCTACAAAGTATGGAGAAAGCCAAAAATCTACAAAGTTTGGAGAAAAATAAAAACTCCGACGAAACCCCTGTAAACAAAAGGAGGAACGAAATAGACAACTTCGTATCCGAATATATTTCCATACCTGCCGCAGAAGGGTTGAAAATAACAATTAAACAAAGCGATGTACCGCAGGCACTAAAAAGAAACATCATGGACTTCAACAGCGACTCGGAAAGTGCAGAGCGAACCCCTCTGCTCAAACAGAACATTATCGTTCCCCTAATTCATAACCCACCCCCACAACCTAAGGAAATGAGCTTACCGGATGGTAGAACACAACCCCTACCCAGTAAACAAGTGGCTTACAAACCAAAACCTAAACCGGACCCAAAGCCCGAAGATAAACGGAAACCGAATGAGGAAATCATTAACACCTCACCCAATAGTACCTTCCCATTACAAAGGGCGAAGAAAACACGCAAACCTACAGAAGACACAGACATGATCGAAACTTACCCTCAAACGCAACCCATGGATACGCACGATGCAAATAACGAGTTCATCTCGCCCCCGAAAATCAGCGGACATCTAAAGCGTGTTATGAAACAAAAAGTTATCGCATCCCTACCAAAACCTGTAGAAACTAAGAACAGATTTCAGGTTCTCACAGAGAGCGAAGAGGAAGACGAACAAATTATGGAAGAAAGATTAAAAGCCAGAAAAGAGAGGCGAGAGAAGGCTGAAAATTATAAAAAATCATTGGCAGAGAAGCCAACAGTAAAACCTCCCTCCAAAGATAAAAACGAACCCCCACAAAAGAAAAAATCGGCTATGCCACCTATAGTGCTCGAGGGAGTACCTGAAGACCACAAAGGGTTGACAGGGGTACTTAGAGAGATCATAAAGGGTAATTTCAACGTGAAATATACGAATAATTCCACCATAGTATTCACCGAAGATAAAAGTGACTATGACAGAATACTTGAAAATATAAAAACCGAAGAGATGGCGTTCCACACCTATACTAGTAAAAGTGATAAGTCCCATGCATTCGTCCTGCGCGGACTAGGGGACGGAACCAAAATAGAGGATCTAGAAGAAGATCTAATGATCAACTACGAGATCAAAACAAGAGCAATTTACAGGATGACTACGCGAAACAGACCCCTATACCTGGTGGTGACAGACCCGTCTATCACTATGGAATATCTCAACCGTAACGTCAAAGTGGTACTATACACCAGAATTACGTGGGAATTGAGACGATCTACCAAACTTATCATCCAATGCCACAACTGCCAGGCGTGGGGGCATGCCACGTCGAATTGTGGACGTCTACCAAATTGCCTAAAGTGTGCCGCAGGTCACCACACTAAGACCTGCTTAAAGTCCAGAGACACACCCGCCACATGTGTGAATTGTGGCGGCGACCACCCAGCCAATTTTACCAAATGTAAATCCTATCTAGACAGGGTGGCTAGATTAGAAGAAAGAAAGATGACAACAAACAACAAAAAGAGCTACAAACCCGCTCCCCTACCAACACATAATAGGTGGGAAAGCAGAAAGGAAGCCACAAAATCTTCAAAATATAATACAGAGTTCCCTCTCTTACCGGGCAATCGTGATGTAGAGTTCCCTCTCTTGCCGGGCAATCGTGATGTACCACAACAAGAACAAAGAAGACAACCCAGCAGACCCACACAGCAAACTCAGGGAGGTATGGACGACATATTCGCCCTCAATCATGAAATGCAAGAATTAAATTCTTTAGTTAACATCGCCGAACTAACCCGCGCGGTAAGGGAGCTTAATTCTAAACTGAGGGAATGCCGCAGCGAATCACAAATTTTTCTAACATACAATAGTTTCATGTCAAACCTAAACTCATACAGCTTCAGGAACTGAATTCGCTGCGGTTTACCGAGACAAATACAAAATCTGTTTTTACAATGTAAACGGGCTGCTAAACAAGATTCATCTTGTAAGCAACTTCATATATAAACATAAATTTGACATTATAGTACTAACGGAAACACATTTGAAACCAATTCACAAAATAAAAGTGCGTGACTACGACATACACAGGCAGGATAGGCCAGACGAAACCGGAGGGGGCGTGGCTCTCATTATTAAACGAACCATTCAGCATACAGCTGCCTCGAACGTTAATTCAATCATTGAACACGCGATAATTAAAATTGGGGATATCACGGTGATAGGGGTATACAATAAACCACTCAATCACTTTAATAATATTGATCTTTATAACCTGATGGCCGCTGGGGAGAAAGTAATAGCAATGGGGGATTGGAACGCCAAAAATAAAGAGTGGGACGCAAACTGCTCAAAAAATAATAAAAACGGCAACACCCTCAGCGAATTTGCCGACACACATGATTGCCTTATTCACTATACCGATGAACCAACGTTCTACCCCTTTAGTGGACAAACACCTAGTACTTTGGACATTGCTTTGACAAAAAACATTGACAGCATACATAACATAACAACAATAACAACACTAAACTCGGACCACGACCCAGTTTACTTAGAAATCAGGACGAAAAAGAACATACAGAGACAAGACGGACAATACTACGACCACAAAACAACAAACTGGGTAAAATACAGGGAAATCATAGACAAAAACATAGTAATTAACAACAACATTACGACTACTGACGAACTTGACAATGAAGTAGACAAACTAACAAAAATCATAATTAAAGCAAGGGATGCTACAACAAAAATCAAAAAAGTCAAACTACACCACGAAAACATAACTACAGAAATACAGGACATGATCAATACAAAGAACTACATACGCAGACGTTGGCAACAGTATAGACAAAGTGATGACAGAATTAGACTATTTGACATTTCCAAAACAATCAACGCTGCATTACGAGACTTAAAAAACAAAAAATGGGCCGACATATTACGAGAACTTACACCACAAGACAACTCAGTGTGGAAAGTTGCAAAACGGTATAAGAAACCGGTTGTGCAGCTTCCCACACTCGAGGACAATAACGCACAATACATAACGGACACACAAAAAGGGGTAGCGTTTGGAACGTATTTCGAAAACAATTTTAAAAACAATAATGCAAATAATCCAGAGCAACAAAATATAGAGGACATAGTAGAGGACATTAAGCTCCTCCCCAGAGCAAACGTACCGGCAAATCAGAGGGTTACGCCGAACGAGGTAAAAGCGGTAATTAGTAAACTAAAAAATAGGAAGGCACCGGGTCCAGACGGGATATCTGGACTCATGCTTAAAAATATTACCAAAAAAGCGGTCGTACAGCTGCACCACATCATAAATGCACTATTTAAATTGCAGCACTACCCTAAACAATTAAAGGTCGCAAATATCATACCGATCAAAAAGCCCGGGAAAGCCGCGAAAAATATTGAGAGCTACCGTCCCATATCCCTTCTTAACTCACTGACGAAGACAATAGACATGATAATATTAAACAAATTACGCGTAATTGAAAACGACAAACAAATAATTCCACAGGAACAGTACGGTTTCCGCGAAGGACACGGTACGGTTGCACAAGTGATCAGAATTGCCCATCAGGCAAAAGAAGCCTTTAATAATCAAAAAGTAACCGTACTGGTCGCCTTAGACACAGAGAAGGCCTTCGATACCGTCTGGACCTGTGGACTTATCTACAAAATGTTTATAAATGAATTTCCTGTTTATATTGTAAAAACGATTCAATCATACCTACAGGACAGAACATTCAACATTAAAATCAACGATACAATCACAGGACCATTCAATGCAATGGCGGGGGTACCTCAGGGTTCATTACTTTCGCCGCATCTGTACACGATTATGACCCATGATATGCCCATGGGTTACTAATGGTGTACAGACGGCACTGTACGCTGACGATACCTGTGTGTACAAAACTTCGGAGCTGGCTGAAGTCGCGAACAGGAGGCTTGATATACACATAAACAGAACGCTAATTCCTTATCTGGACGCCAACAAGATGAGATTGAATGCTGCGAAATCCGAAAGCCTGATGCTCACGAAAAAGCGTACAGGAAGATCGCGATTAATACATAATAAGCTTAAGATCGGAGATCAGGTAATCGAATCTCAGCATTCAATTAAATATCTAGGTGTGCGTCTGGATAGGGAATTGACATTCCAAAAACATATAGAGGATAGGGTGGCAAAAGCCAATACTGCCATAAGAACTTTGTACCCACTATTTAGACGGGGTAACCACCTAAGTCGCGACAATAAAATTTTGCTATATAGACAAGTAATAAGGCCAATATTGACTTATGGGTGCCAAGCCTTCTGTTCCATGACAGAAAGTCACTTCAATAAGCTCCAGGTAGTACAGAACAGTTGTCTGAGGCGGTCCTTGGGGTGGCTCCGTTATTCCAGGATAACGGACATGCACAGAGAGACATCCATGCCAACTATTAGAGAATACATCTTAAAAATCTCAGAGAGATTCTACAAAAATAGTCTTCCTCCAAACATAAAGGAAGACATACTTAATATCAACGAGGCAAACAGCGCGCATAGGAAGCATGGATGTCTCCACAAAGCACTGACAATATACAGACAAGTTTGAGACGTAATACACACACAAACATATACAGACTTTGCCCTGCGACATCAATACTAATTGTTCTAATTCAAGCCGACTAGCCGTAAAATCTGGTCGGACGGTGGACTGCACGGTGAATCGAAAATCGAATCGGCGATATTCTTCGCTGCCTAGATGGACGGTAACACCGTGTAATCCACGAATTAGGACAAATTAGCCATAAACTACACGGACAAACGGACATATAAAGACAACCCTGTTTTTTCTTAGCCTTTTTCAGGGAAACAAATACATAACTAACAACAGACAAAACTATTACAAAAAGTTCCATTACCGACGCTAACTAAACAACCATAAATGTCTTATAATATTTTTCGGAATAAGGAGATGACATTGCACAGATCAATAAATAGAAAACACTCTATATTCATGATTGCGGGTCGATACGACGCCCATATTTCTCCTGCCCAGGCTGGAGGACAGGGGCGAAGTAAAACGATATAACGTACATGTAGATGTAGATGTAAATTGTACATATGTAAATATTGTAAATAAATTATTCATTCATTCAGTATTGGACGGTGATGTAGCTGTGTTGTTCTGTGATTTGAATCTTCATGCACTAAACTACCACAAGACGCACTTACATACAAGGACAACCCTGTTTTTTACTAACGGTTTTTCAGGGAAATACAGACACAATTAAAATCAACAAAAACTCTTAACAGTACCATTATCGTTCTAGTAAGCTCACCAATAATTGACTTATAATGTTGTTCTCAACAAGGAGAAGTCAAACCAAGCAAAATTTATAAATAATAACTTCTATTTGCGCGACCCTAACATCGGTCGTGGTCTTGCTCGAAGGCCACACAAAAGAGAACACTTCTCCCATACAGCAATGAGAAGAAACCCTCTAATCATGTACATAGAATGTTATTATAAAAAACTACTTGTAAATATTTTAAATAAAGACCTTTTGAAATGAATGAATGTGGCTTGTCGCGATTTTAGTATTGGACGGTGATGTAGCTGTGTTGTTCTGTGATTTGAATCTTCATGCACTAAACTACCACAAGACGCACTTACATACAAGGACAACCCTGTTTTTTACTAACGGTTTTTCAGGGAAATACAGACACAATTAAAATCAACAAAAACTCTTAACAGTACCATTATCGTTCTAGTAAGCTCACCAATAATTGACTTATAATGTTGTTCTCAACAAGGAGAAGTCAAACCAAGCAAAATTTATAAATAATAACTTCTAGTTGCGCGACCCTAACATCGGTCGTGGTCTTGCTCGAAGGCCACACAAAAGAGAACACTTCTCCCATACAGCAATGAGAAGAAACCCTTTTAATCATGTACATAGAATGTTATTATAAAAAAAACTACTTGTATATATTTTAAATAAAGACCTTTTGAAATGAATGAAAATGTGGCTCGCTGCGACTTTTGCATGGGACTGTGGTGGCGCTGTGTAGTCTTGTAATTTGAATTTTCATGTACATAAACTATACAAGACACTTACAAACAAGGACAACCCTGTTTTTTACGAATGGTTTTTCAGGGAAACACAGACAAAATTAAACTCAAACAAAAATCCTCTACTATCCCATTATCGCCCTTGCAAGATCACCAAAATTGACTTATAATGTTGCTATTTCAACAAGGAGAAGTCATCCAGCCAAAATATTAAATAATGACGATCATCTACACGACCATGACATCGGTCTGGTCTCTACAGGAGGCCACAAAAGTGAATACTTCACCCAGTTGAGAAGAAATCCTTTTAAATTGAAGTAAATGATTTGTTATTATAAACATTTGTACATATTGTAAATAAAGACCTTTTGAAATGAAAATGAAAATGATCCACAAGAATCCACAACAAAATATGGGACCACCATTGACGCGGTATTTTCCAGATATTTAGAGGATATCAAGTCTCAAACTTATGTTTCATATTTCAGTTACCATAAACCTAGTTTTTTTCTTTGATATTTCAAAGAAAAAAAAATACTGCATAAATAAGATAAATAAATAATTATAATTGCATAAGTTGATAAAAAATGCTATGCAATAGCTTTACCGCGGCAGTCTCCGAGTGCCACACGTATTTTTATTTATATATATTTTCCAATTATTGTAGATCCAGAAATGGTATTTTTTTTCGGTTTTTGTTTTATTTTCATTTTCTTTATTTGGCTAGTTTCCTAATATCACAATATTCAAATTTAGTAAAAAATAATGTAATAATATAATAATTATTATAATGAAATTCTTTTTATTTTTTTATCGAATGGTTTTGTATAACAGAATCCAATGCATTTTAAAGAAATACAATTAATTTTTAATTGTACATATGGCGGGTTGTACAATAGGCAGTTAAAATGTAGACTTAGTTTAAACTGTAAACCTTGTCGTATACTCATCGGTTATATTGTTAATCATAGTTTTAAAAATGACATTTGCTTTTGAATATACCTAGTTAAAAATAAAACTCTTGTTAGTTAAACTGAGTTTAGAATGTTTTTTGTACAACCTGCCCATAATGTATTTTGTAATAACTATTTTTATTTTTTCACTAATAGTTTCCCTGAACTCTGTTTTATTATATTTTTAGTTGTAAACAAGAATCTGCTGAGTACCTACATTGTACAGATTTAAATATACAAAGAGTCCTGTAAATATACCGACAAACTTTTAGGGGTGGTAGAGGGGATATCAAAATAAACTTTTTTGTTTCAAAAACGAAGCATTTTCGGACATTATTATGTTCAGATGTAGTCGATCAGAAAGGTCAAATTGATGTAATATATACAGACTTCTCAAAGCTTTTGATCGAATAGATCATAATATTCTTGTAAGGAAGTTGGAAAGCTTAGGGTTTGATCAGTCGCTGTTGAGATTATTTTCTTCTTAGCTAAATCATCGTTTCAATTACAACGGATTTTCATCCTCACCCTTCACAGCAACATCTGGAGTTGCACAGAGCGCCAATCTGGGGCCACTATTATTTATTATATTTATAAATGACTTGATAATAAACATGCAATCACCTGTTGTTCGCTACTGACTTAAAAATATTTACCTCAATCTCATCAATTCAAGACTTTCACTTTTTACAGACCCAGTGTAATGAAAACAAGCTCTTTATGAATGTGTCTAAATGTAAAGCATGTTCCTATACTAGAAGTATTAACAAAGTGGAGTTTGATTATTTATTTAACGGCCTATCTTTAGGTTCAGCATACCATCTTGAGAAAATAGAAGGGTAGTTTCCAGTGTGACATTTCTTTATAAAATATTACATAACACTATTGATGTACCATTTTTGATAAATCAAATAAATTTTTAATATTCCTCAAACAGCCATTAGATGTCATAAAACATTCGCCTATAACGCTAATGTCCTCAAATTTTAATTAATTTTGTCCTGATTGTGATATTTATTTCGACCATTAATTGTACTAAATTGTAGCTAATGTATTTAGGATTATTTCTTTTCTTTTTCTTGCTGTTAGTTGCTAAAATTATTTTCTGTCGAAATATTATGTTTGACATTTATTTAATGTATTTTGTCCTGTAAATGGATTAATCTGTTGGGCAATAAAATTATTTTTATTTATTAAGCAAAAAATGTTTATTTTGATGCACCTACCACCTTTAAAAGTTTGTCAGTATGTTAACGAGAAATCCTATATAATTCTCAAAGAAAAATGTTTTTGGAATAAATTCAGAATTCTATTTATTGATATTTGTTATTTTTTAAGTTCAATGACTCGATACATGGTTATCAGCTACACCAAGAATATTCTTGATACTTAAAAAAATGGTATGAGATCAAGCAGATTTGATACTACGTCACATTGTGTTGCGAAGCCGTGGCTTGTATGAATTTGAGGTATCAGTTGATCGAAAACAATGCTCAAAGATAAATTTAAATCTACATAGGCATCATAGATAGCCATATTCCGTACCACAATACGTCATGCATGAACTCGATGAGATTTCATCGGCTAAGTATCATTCCTCTGTAATGTTTTGTATCATTAGGAACATAAACATTGTAAACAATTATGACCAGGGCTTTCTAACTTTTTTCCTAGGTCAGAGAGAAAAACTAAGTAATGTATAGTAATAAAGATTGAAAATATACGAGTATATACTTTTAAGAGTTTTTAGTATGTCAGCTATAGTTTTGTACCAAAAATTAAAATAAACTGAAATTATACATTAAAAACACCATCGACTCTCTCCTGGCTAAAATATTACTTATCTTGAATGAGTAAAACCTAATTTGGTAGATTTTCACAAAACTTTTATTTTAAAAAATAAAAAATGAAAATTAAAAACACTACACATGACATGTTTCGAAGTACAACTTCTTTTTCAAATGTGACTAATTTACAATTCGGTATCCAATATATATGCGAAATAATTGAACAAAACAAAGTACTTAAGAAAACATCAATAACATAACAAAATAAACTAACTATTTAAAGTAAATAAGGGTACTTAGGTAATTATGATATCAATCAAATAACAATAAGATAGTAACATTACCGGGATTATCTCACAGAAAACTAGGAAAGATATTTAATAAGGGTGAGTTATTAATATCTAATTGATCATTGAGTAGGTTATCTGAATTTTTAAATCTATTTATTTCAAGTGTTTCTAAATGGTTTAGTTTATTGCCCTTATTTTCTATATGTAAAATTTCAAAGTTGTCTGTAAAAGAATGATTTTCAGCTAAAATATGATTTGAGTAAGTAGAATTATTTTTGTTTTTTGTATAGCTATTGTAATGTTCGGAATAGCGCTTTTTGAAAGTACGGCCTGTTTGACCAATATACAGTTTTGGACAACTACCACAATTTAATTTATATACCCCCGATTTATTATTAGGATTAATTTTACCCTTATTGTTTTTAATATACTTCCCAAGCGTAATATTGGTTTTAAAAGCTACGTTAATATTTTGGTTTTTTAAATATGATGATACCTTTTCACTAGGAGCTCCTATATATGATCTCCAATTTTGATCTTTAATTATG